GGTGGGTGGTGTTGTGTGTGGTGGTTGTGTGTGGTGGTTGTGTGTGGTGGTTGTGTGTGGTGGGTGTGTGGTGGTTGTGAATAGTGGTTGTGAATAGTGGTTGTGTGGTGGTTGTGTGGTGGTTGTGTGGTGTGTGTGTGTGGTGGTTGTGTGTGGTGGTTGTGTGTGGTGGTTGTGTGTGGTGGTGTGTGTGGTGGGTGTGTGTGGTGGTGTGTGTGGTGGTTGTGTGTGGTGGTTGTGTGTGGTGGTTGTTTGTGGTGGTTTGTGTGGTGGTTGTTTGTGGTGGTTGTTTGTGGTGGTTGTTTGTGGTGGTTGTTTGTGGTGGTTGTTTGTGGTGGGTGTTTGTGGTGGTTGTTTGTGGTGGTTGTGTGGTGTGTGGGGGTTGTGTGGTGGTTGTGTGTGTGGTGGTGGGGGTGTGTGGTGGTTGTTTGTGGTGGTTGTTTGTGGTGGTTGTTTGTGGTGGTTGTTTGTGGTGGTTGTTTGTGGTGGTTGTTTGTGGTGTTTGTGTGGTGGTTGTTTGTGGTGGTTGTTTGTGGTGGTTGTTTGTGGTGGTTGTTTGTGGTGGTTGTGTGGTGGTTGTTTGTGGTGGTTGTTTGTGGTGGTTGTTTGTGGTGGTTGTTTGTGGTGGTTGTTTGTGGTGGTTGTTTGTGGTGGTTGTTTGTGGTGGTTGTTTGTGGTGGTTGTTTGTGGTGGTTGTTTGTGGTGGTTGTGTGTGGTGGGTGTTTGGTGGTTGTGTGTGGGTAGTGGTGAGCGCACTGCGCTGCTAAACAGGCGCACTGGAGAGACAAAGGCGGCCGGGCGTGGTGTTGGCCACCCCCCCCCCCTCGTGTGCCCGTGTCGGCTTTCGTAGATAGTTGCTGCTGCTGCTCACTCGTTAACAGCACTTGCCCTAACAGCCTGTTAGTGGCTATATGGGGCATCTGTTTTTTTTGCGTGTGTAGTGAGGAGCTGTGTGGTGGGGTGGGCTTAGAAAAAATATTTGTAGGTGCGTGAATGGGTAGGTAGGTGAGTGGGTAGATGGATGGGTAGGTGGGTGGGTAGGTAGGTGGTGGGTAGGTAGGTGGTGGGTAGTTGGGTAGTGGATGGGTAGGTGGGTAGGTGGGTGGGTGTGGGTAGGTGGGTAGGTGGGTGGGTAGTTGGGTAGGTGGTGTGGGTGGTGGGTAGGTAGGTGGGTGGGTAGGTGAGTGGGTAGGTGAATGGGTAGTTGGGTAGGTGGGTGGGTGGGTAGGTGGCGCAGTGGGTAGGGTCTCTATTTTGTATATTGTGTGCGCGTGTTGTGTGCTCGCTAAAAGCACTTGCCCCGGCAGTCTGTTACAGTCTATACGGGCAACCTATGTATTTGTGTCAATGTGCCGGGAAACATTGGTACGGGAAGAAGCCAGAGGTTGATGGATTATCATGCTGCGCGACTTTACAAAGTAAAAAAATGTCCTGGAGAAAATGTCCCTTGTCCCTTTAAACGCTCATTGAACACTCATTCAGTTCGAATTATAATACAGGAATAATACGTGGAGAGTATTTTTTTGGGTCAATCCACTGCTAGACGAGGAACTCCCCACGCGGGGAGGGGCTGTGGGGAGTGAGGGGGGTGAGGGGGTGAGGGGGTGAGGTAGGGGGGGGGTTGCTGGACCATACTTCACCCGAGCTGAATCAGGGCATGCTGCCGTGCAGACAGGTTACTGGACATCTGTGAAATACTGAACACCTGCCAAAAAGAGCTTCATAGCTCGGATTACCTCCAGTGACCATAAATATTCTGATTTTTTTTTTAAAGCCAGAGTAATCCCAATCACTAACGCACAGAGCCAGAGTTCAATGCCCCTCATGCGCCTGGACAGGTGAAATGCTGAACAGGTAAGACGTTGAGCAAGTGACAGCCGGACAGGTGAGAGCCTGAACGACAGCCCCACACACACTCGCGTACCCAATGTCAGCTGCGGGCGCGAATCGAACTCGGGGGTTTCGTCGGGAACATCACAACGGCGCGCTGCGCTAACCGCTGCGCCACCGCTCTCTCACCCTCCCACGTTGTAGCTTTGCATTTCGTTCTCCCCTCCTCCCTCTCTCCCTCTCGTGTCCCCCTGCTCCGAATCTGCGACCGCACGCAATCATCGCTCCGCGCCACCTTCAGCGGACGTCAAACACAATGCGGCCCCCCCACCCCCTTTCACCCCCCTAACCACCCCCCCCCCCCTCGCCCTCCTCCTACCCCCCCTCCGAGCCCCAGCCGCGGCCCTCTCGTCGAATGGATGCGCTGGGAGTCGCGGCGCTGCTGATAAGGGCGGACGAGAGACGCGTAAATCTCGAGGTTTATTTAGCGAGAGGCGCCAGGGCCCGAGTCACTCGCCACTCTTCGGCTTAATATTTTAGCCATTACGTGCCCTGACCCTTTGCGGCGACAAAGACAAAGATCGCCCGTATAGCCTCAGCGGGATGTTGGGGCAAGTGCTGTTAGCGAGTAGCGGCTGTCAAGGCCGGCAGGGCACACGAGGGGGTGGGTGGCCAGCACCACGCCCGGTTTCGCCTTTGTCTCCCTAAGTGGGGATGTCTACACACCGCGCGAGGTACTCATCTGAGGCTGAGTCCACCTAGGGGAGGCCCAGGACCGGTTCATGTAATCGTCACTGATGCTGACCGTGAGCGGGAATCGAACTCGAGTCACCTGGTTTGTGGCGCAACGCGCTAACCGCTGCGCCACCACTCGCCATCCTCACATGGAACATCGCCCACATCCCCGCAAACCGTCTACGAATGATGCGTTTCAAAAGTTTAACCAAAGAATCATATTAATTGGAGAGTAACGAAACAAAACTCACGATCTTATCAACCTTGTCCTATTTTTTTAATCTTTTATATTAAGTTCACTTGCTTGCTTGCGTGCTTGCTTGCTTACGACCGTGCAAATCTTTCGGTCGTTTTTAACCCACTTCCCGTGATCCAATCGAGCTGACATTTTGCACACAGACTCGTTGTGCGAGACAATTAATGTTCGTGAAAAAAAAATTCCAAAATTTTACACTGTTTAGGGAAAACAAATTAAATATTTAATTACCAATTGCTTAATACTGGCAGACAATCATCTGACCCATAGGTGGCAGCCATCTCAAGCCAGAGGACGAGAGGACTCTAGCCGCCACGCATATAAGGATTTAGAGTGAAAAACTTTGTTTTTACGGGTTATACTTTTTGTTTGTTTGTTATTAATAGATACAACATTGTCGTGACGTACAGGCGCAAGTGCCAAGGACCGTCAATTGTACGGTGGTCACCGACGCGCACCGCGTGCGCTTGGCTCGAGGCTAGCGAGTAGGTGGATCTGACGTCACAGACGTCTAGCGGAAATGACGTCATCAGTGATCATGGCGGAACGTTCCAGAATTGTCATATTTATTTTATACTGGAGGAGCCGTCACTACCACAACAAACAAAATAATGGTTTTGGAACCTTCCAAGAGCGTTATGAAGCAAAGATTTTTTTAAATATTAAAAAAAAAAACGGTTTCAGTTTATAATGATCCGTTTTTCGCCCCAATAATTAGTTGGGTTTTATATAATATATATATACTGTAGTTCTAATCTAATGTATATTTATAGAGCGCCTTCACTCAGGGCGCTTGACATAGTTCCGTTTTTTGATCCGGCCTAAGAACTGAAATCGTTCCAAAGCTTCGTTCGTTCCACTCTCTGTTCCGTTCCCTTCTCCGAGGTCGCGGTTCGAACGGCGCATTCCATTTGTCCGTGTTCGCGAAATGTGCGCACCTAACGGATTGTTTGACGACAACGACGACGATGATGGTGATGATGATGATATTGTATCATCATAATTAAAACGCCCACGCTCGCTGTATCGAGTGAACCCACGAGAGGATGTTGGGAAACTTTGGATGACAGACGTAGGAGATAAGGTCGACTGCGTGTCTCCAGCGTAGCAACTGCACGGCACCTGGCAGAGGTAAGGGAACGTCGGCGAATAGGTGGTGGTGGTGATACCAACGGCTTTGGCCACAATGCCACCTTCAATCTTTAACCTATGAGCTGACGACCTTGTGGTTCAGAGGTCAAATGGATGAGGTTCGAATCCTGGTCGGTGTAATGACAGCGAGGTGGTGGCCTCAGCCCAGTTACAACTAACTGCTCATAAACAACCTCCAAAAGAGTAAACACCTCTTCCTTAAAGGCCCCACCTCTTCCTTAAAAGGCACCTCTTCCTTCATAAAAAAAATCCTGAATCTGATGATGATGTAAATGCA